GCATCAGACACCCTGTATAAAGCAAAGGCAGTAAACATGTTGAAAGAAAATTCTAATAGCAGCATAATAAACAAAGTTTCGCTTGCAATGGCACACGCGAATTATTTTCGGCGAGTTCCGCGAGACGCGCAGAATATTCCACGATCGGTTCAGAACGATTTCAGATATATCGAGGAACAGGAAAATCGGATGATTTCTCCGTCGAGCAAGCGCGGATGTGTTCCGGAAGACAAATATTTATCTCCTTTGTGCAGCTCGCTCGTGATATGTAGGACGGTACTGCCGTCGAATATTTTCGGTCGGCGTCGAATGAGGAGCGCCGTTACGCGCGAAATCGTTCGCCGCGATTTTAAGTAAAAACATGAAACATTGTGTTTATCGTGACATTTAATTCTTTTATTATTATGCAAATGAAAATAATAGAATATTTCGCTCAAAACTTGGCGCTGCAACATTTCTAAGCATGCGTGTGTTTAAAGTTGGTAAAAATAAAGAGCAAATTTGATTTAAAATGTGAATGGACATAAATGCGAAGTAGATTTAAGAGAGAGATACATTTATCTGTACATACGTATAGACTATAGAGACCGTGTTTCTTTTTCTAAACGAAACTGGTCACGCTTTTAAAACTGAGTACATTACGTTTCGGAGATAATAAGCTGCCGTTTTATTTCTTATTACGTAAAATGTATTATCTGGGTGTAAGAAGTGATCAGCTTAAAAGCTACGTAAATGTAAGAAAAAAGGAAACTTTATACATATTTTATAAATATAGGAAATTAATAGAATACAAATTAATAGAAATAATTAATTATTTATATCTACTAGAACAATACATTACTAGAAAAATTAAAAAACACGGCAGTATTTCGTGCCGAATGGCGTCCGCGTTACAGGCAGCGAGACGCAGTGCGTATCAATATTTGAAACATCAAATTGAGCAGAAGCATCTTAGCTGCATCTAAAAACTGGATGGGCGCAAGGAATCTTTAATAATTTAATCAATTGCTCAGGGTTTCTTTGCAATTTACATAGTAAAAGTGTTTATTATTTTCTACATTGAATATTAAGACTTTGTAAAACGTACAATATTAACATGGGACAATTGCAGAAATATGAGCATCGTTGTCTCCTCCACTACCCGCCAACCACTACAACGTTTATCACTTTACACCTTCTTTCTTCCCTACTCGTCACAGTATCCTGCCACTCTTCTTTCTTCCATCACGTACACTGGCAAACATAACTTTTGTATTTTTAAGGATTTTTTAACAGTCCATACGTCTCAAATACTCAAAATTACTCATACTACTACGAGATGATTGATACTACAAAATGCGTAATATATTATTATAGTTTAATTACCTTGTTAGAAAAAGGTGAGGAAAGAGCTTGGACTATTCGCTATCCTTAAACTGTTGTGTAAATCAAAGTTATTTTAATATATTTCCGCTATAAAATTAATAATAGGAAGAATTGTGCTGAGCATGAGATTATCTACATCATAAAATTTAATTCTTTTAATAATACTTTACATGCATATCCACTTTGTACCGCTAAATTTTTCTGGACGAAATGGTTTGTTATTTTAATAAGCATAATAATAAAGGAAATAATTGTTTTAATAAACATAATTTTTCACGTTTAAAATCAAGTTTTCGTGTTTAAATTGTATATTTTCCTATTTCAGTAAATACGATGAGAGAAAATTTAATTTTCTGATGTGTGTAACTTCATGCTGAGTCGGCGCAAAGTTTCATATCGCTTTTTATAACTTTTATAACAAGAATAGGATAAAACAACAACGTTAAGCACAATAACTGTAACTCTTGAAACGGGCGCTATCACATAGGTAATACCTTTACTGTTACCTTTGTTAATTCCAATACAGCTTCGTAAAAATAAATAAAATATGTAATAAAATTTTTCTTAAACACAATGCATAGGCCGAGTTATCACACAATCAGCAGTACTGATACCGGTGTATTATACATGAAGTGATTTTCATCAATCCGTTGAAATTTGTTCCGCAATTAAATAACTGGGCTATGCTCAGATGAAATAAGAATGGTATTGTGATTTCAATTTCCTAAGTCATTATATGGCACATCAGTAATATTAAAATGTGATAAATAACGTGACAAATACTCGCCGTTGAGGCACCATTAAAATGTTTTGTAATAAATACGAGAAAACAAGTTGTTTCATTGGTTTTCTAGAGACCGATCGTCAAAAGAAGTCGATAAGTGTATTCAAGTACTATTTCGTTCATTATATGCTATTCGATTAAACCACTGGTTCAGTTCTTCCAACCAGCTCTTCTTGAATTTGCTGTAACGACTTACACTTAGTCTCAGGCATGCAGAAATATGTGTATGGTACAGCAGTTATCATTATCAAAGCGTGCACATAGAACACATACTTTTGCGTGATCAAATTGATTAAAGGCTGATATGTCGATGTGGAGATAATAGAGGCTGTCGTACCGACAATATTGGCGACACAGCTGGCTACGCACTTAACATGTGGCGAAAAGATCTCACTCAATACCGTATTCGGCACTGAGATGATGCCGATGCATGAGGATATTTCGAAGAGCAACACCGCGAAAATCGGTAGAGCCTGAAGACTGGTGGGGTCATAGGCCGCGTCAAGAAGTTGATATTGTACACCTAAGCAGATTAGCGTGATAGTGATGCCCAAGCTGGAGACGATCATCAGAATTCGCCTGCCGAACTTATCGATCAGGTACATCGAAAGCATGGAACCGACGAATCCCATAGCGCTGACGATGATTACAATCACTGACGGCTCTAGAACTGTCACTTGAGCGTTTTGCAGGATGGTCTCCATGTAAGCCGACACAATGCTTTGGCTTATATGAAAATATACGAAGAGCAAAGACGTGAGTGTTTGCGCTGTCCACATGTAGGGAATTCTGAATTGCTTTATAACGTCCGCGAAAGGAAGACTCTTATTTTTTTCAATGAAGTTTTTCAGCGTTGTCAGCTCCGATTCCACATCGCAATTACGGTGATACCAAAGTATTGAGATTCGCGCTTTAGTTTCGTCTTTTATTTTGATGAAATAATGCGGCGATTCCGGCAACCACATGAAGATGATTATCGGTACAAAACAGAGAACGAAACTTATGAGAGCGCTCATCTCTAGTCTTAAAAACGCACCCATGATACTCATTATTAAGCTGCCTAGTCATAATCCGCTTACTCCTGCAAAAGAGAAAAGACTTCTCCTTAATATCATTTCTACGAAATTATTGATTGTTTACGGGATTTTGCATCCTTCTTTTATACTTTGCAATTTGTTCAGGTTATATTTTATTTTCTCACTTTTATAAAAATAATAAATCTGAGATATACGTAAAATAAAAACTTTAGATATTATATTATACTACGTAACAATGCGCTTATTAAAAATGTGTTGAATACACTAATTTTATTTGCTGAACATAATTGTGAGAAATACTGTAACGTACCTAAGGCAATCAGAGCTCCTCGAATTGTAGGATCCGCGATCTCACCTAGGTAAAGTGAGAAGCAGGTGTTTGCGTTTCCTACACTCATGCCAGCTACTAACCTGGCTGTATACAGCCATTCCACTCGATTGGCTATAATTATGAAAAACCAGCTGAGAGTTATCGTTGAACTCGTCACAAAGATGGCTGTTTTAGAGCCGAGATAGTTGACTGCAACCGAACCATAAATGGTGCCAATTAGTTTTCCTACACTTAATAGAGCGACTATCCAGGAAGCTTGGTTCATTGTCATGGGTATGGGAGATTCGGGTGAAGTCAGATTTGCGATGTATGGTGAACTCCACATCGCAATCATTCCCGTTTGTAGAAGCAGAAGATTGACTGAAAATCTAATAATCATTAGTCGATGTCCATATTTATTTCAATTTTAATATTTTTTTGCATACACAAATTCAAATAGATATTTCTTTAATCAAATACATATAAAAGAATTAGTTGAACATACTTATTTACTATATTTCGTGCCATTGATATGGTATTAATATTGCAACATTAATATAAGTAATACATACCTCCGATACCTGCGATCCATTGAGGCCATCGTTTTTTCGTATATTTTACTTTTCCCATCTTATAATCCATTCTGATTTTCTTGTAGAGCGCTTATGATTATAAATTTTCCGAGAAGTGCCACGCTCTGCTGTGTTAGAAAATAAGCGAATCGTTAAAGCCATTTCCACGTTAATAAGATTAAATATGTAATATACACGTAAAATTTTTAATCAGCTGTTAAGGTGTAATCAGTAGAAGAACTGTACAACTATCAATCTCTAATTATTTATCATTTAAGTTATACACATTTCTCATCTAAATTTATGATATGACTCTAACAGGATAATTATATAATTAATAAATTAGCCTTTTGTAATATTATCAATAGTTTTAAAAGACAATTATATGGCGTGATACTAGTACGAAATAATGTAAACCTTTCATACATTTCTAAGAAAAAGAATGCTTTACAGTGAAACTAAATGTTTTTACTTCATGTAAGATTGGTATTAGTTCATTCATGTTATTGAAAAATAACTTACGTATGTGAAAAGAATAAGACGAACTACACGTTAAACCGAGGAACAGTTGCTGCTAATCTTCCAAGTAGTAAATTGAGTCATGCAGTATGCTTACGGTTATAACACACGGTTCTTGCACATGAGTCAGAAAAATGTAACATCATGCGTAATAAAAAAAGTATGGTAGTCAACTGTTCACGTTTTTAAAACCAAATATAAAAGAAGTATGGTAGCCAACTGGTCACGCTTTTAAAATTGAGGACGTTACGTTTCGGAGATAATAAGCTGCCATGTCATTTCTTATCACGTAGAACGTATTACATGGGTATAAGAAGTGGTCACCTTAAAAGCTACGTAAATGTATGAAAAAAGGAAACTATATACATGTTTTATAAATAAAGGAAATTAATAGAATACAAATTAATAGGTATAATAAATTATTTATATCTATTAGAACAGTATATTACTACAAAAATTAAAAGACACATCAGTATTTTATGCTGAATGGCGTCTGTGTTACAGGCTGCGAGACGCAGTGCGTATCAATATTTGAAACATCAAATTGAGCAGAACCATGACAGCCGCATCTAAAAAATGGCTGGGCGTAAGAAATGTTTAATGGGTTTATTCGATTGCTCAGGGTTCTTTGACATAGTAAAAGTGTTTATTATTTTCAACATTGAATATTAAGACTTTGTGAAAAGTTTATTATTATATAATATTAAAATATGACAAAGAATGCGACAAATACGCGGCATAGCCGTTGAGATACCGTTAAATATGTTTTGTAATAAATACGAGAAAACAAGTTATTCCATTAATTTTCGAGAGACAAATCGTCAGAAGAATTCGACAAGTGTATTCAAGAACAATTTTGTTTATTATAATATATAGGATTAAACCTATTGTTCAGTTTTTTCAACCAGCTCTTCTTGAATTTGCTCTAACGACTTACACTTAGTCTCAGGCATGCAGAAATATGTGTATGGTACAGCAGTTATCATTATCAAAGCGTGCACATAGAACACGTACTTTTCCGTGATCAAATCGATTAAAGGCTGAAATGTCGACGTGGCGATAAAAGAGGTTGCCGCACCGAACAGGTTGGCAAAACAGCTGGCTATGCATTTAATGTGTGGCGGAAAAATCTCACCCAATACCGTGTACGGTACTGGGATGATGCCAATGAGCGAAGATATCTGAAAGAACAATATCGAGAATATCGGTAGTGCCTGAAGATTGGTGGGGTCATACCCCGCGTCGAGTAGCTGATATTGTACACCCAAGCAGATTAGCGTGATCGTGATTCCTAAGCTGGAGACAATCATCAGGATTCGCCTGCCGATCTTATCGATTAGGAATATGGAAAGCATGGAAGCGAATATTCCCGTAGCACTGGCGATAATTACAATCACTGACGGGTCTATAACGGTCACTTGGGCGTTTTGTAGGATGGTCTCCATGTAATAGAACACGATGCTTTGACTTAACTGAAAGTATGCGAAAAGTACGAACGAGAGTATTAGCGCTTTCCAAATATATGGGATTTTGAATTCCTTTATGATGTCTATGAAGGGTGGACTTTTATTCTTTTCAATGAAAAGTTTTAAAGCCTGTAGTTCCGCTTCTACATCGCAACCGCGATGATACCAGACTATCGAGGTTCGCGCTTTCGTCTCGTCTTTAATTTTGATGAAATAATACGGCGAAGACGGCAACCAAAAGAAGACGATTATCAGTATGAGACTGAGGGCGAAGCATATAGCAGCGCTCATCTTCATGCTTAAGATCGCTCCCATAGTGCTGATCATTACATAGCCGATTGCTATCCCAATCATAGCTGCAAAAGAGTTTACCTTTTTTGACATGTATATATTAATATAGTTAGTAATAACAACTGTTAAAAAGTAAATTGTAAAATAATTTATTAATGTGATCGTATGCGTTTCAATTTATAGAATTTTTTGCTTATTTCCGTGTTATCTCTTATTTTATTAGTTTACTAAATCAGAAAGCAATATCACATTGATGCAAATTAAAAACTTTATCTCCATT